TATATATATATATATATATATATAAGTCCTTGACTCCTTTCTCTTTTATGATTAAGTGACATCAATTTACGTTTTGATGCTTTGAGTCACCCCTTTAGTGTGTTCAGACGCTTATGAAAGATTTTGAAGCACTTGGAGAAAGCTGGGCAAAAACCTACTTTTAGTCATTTATTTTAATAAATTTGTAAGTTTTAATCTTTTAACTTATATTATGAAACTTTTAACCCCTTACCTATACAAATCGAAGAAAATAACCCTTACTTAACATGAGGTTATAATGTTTGTTAGTTAATTATTGACATTTCATTAACAGTTAGTTGACAGATTGTTAATGGTGACAAAGATAGAGTTAACAAAATGTTAATAATCACAGCTGATGAATGCTATAACTTGACATTTATAACGTTAATCAGTTGACTATTAACATTTCATTAATAGTTAGTTGACAGATTGTTAATGGTGACAGGAATAGAGGTAATGAAATGTTAACAATCAGTTGATAAACATTATAACCTAACATTAAATAAGAGTTATTTTCTTCAATTCGTAAAGATGAGGAGTTTAAATTATCATAATATAAGGTGAGGGGTTAAAATCTACGAACTTATCAAGGTAAATGGCTAAAAATAAACTTTTGTCAAAAAGCTGAGTGTAAAAACCCAAACGGACTGCAGGAACCAAATCCTGCAACATGAGATGGTTCATGTCCTCATGTGGCACAAATGCAATCTAGCAATTCTCCGCTGTGTTTCAGATATATTATGATAGAATATTTTGAGCACTCTATATGAAACATTCACATAAATCTTTGACTGCCGAAAGAGTTTGGCACTTATAAAGGTACATGAAATCTTCAAAGAACACACACCCACCAAATGTTTCTTGCAGTTAGAATACATATAGAACACACTCGTGTAATTACTAGACTTAAAATGACAGAGCTTCTATCTTTAGAGTTATTGGAGCCACGGCCTCTTTCGATTGGGATCAAGTTTAGAGAGTCAGAACTGCTGTTGGAGTGATTCTATCTCTTCCTTTTCCTAAGTTGTTGTTCTCTTTCCTATCAAAGATGCCTGGTCTGAAAGTGGAAGTATAAAGCTGAACGAGAGAAGGAAACTGAAACAGTACAAAGATAATGATTGGAACACTAGCAAACAAAGTTAATGGTATGATTATCCACAATCGATCTTGTAGCATAAGGAAAAGAGCAGCACAAAATGCTACCATCATTGCTGCAATAGAGATGAAGAGTGAAGAAATGCCAATAATCAACTTCACGGGTAAGGATTTAAGAAAATCCTTATAAGCATGACGTGGAGTAAGAATCCCCAAAAACATTAGCACCGAACTAGATGCAGCAAAAAGAGAAATTGCATCTGATGCTACAAATACCGTGAACGGAACGGCTGGAGAATGTACTGAAGAAGAGTCTGCTGTTTTGTTCAAAAATATAGGGAAGCCTGTTTTTTGGTCATTCCCACCAGGAACAGTGAAAGCCACAGCAAACATAATTGTAATGATTAGAGCACCTACGACGGTAGAAGATTTTGCTGTTTTCTTCGACCATTCTTCCGCTTCTTTTAGCAACTGCTTGTGTACCTTAACAAACACTTGGGAAGGTGTATCACCATCATTGTTTTGATGATTGTCGTAGGACTGTGGAACAATGCCTTCCACTGCCTACATTAATTTCAAAATATTATTCTAGATGTTTAGTGAGAAACTCATTATTACTATGCAGAATTAATGGAGCCACATGTGACATCAAAATATAAAATTTATTAATTGACAGAACATATAAAGTATGATATGCTTACCCTAAACCAGCGTAGCTCACTTTGCAACTGCGAAACTGCACTTGAGATGTAATCAAGGTGAGAACGAGGAGCTGCACCTGAGATGTAATTAAGGTGAGAACGAGGAGCTAACTCTGCTGCTAAATATAATAAATCGTTTTCATCTCGCTCCTCGGTAAAACCTATATTTGTACTACTTCTTGCATTAAATTTATAAAGAAATTGTGCCACTTCCTCTTGACGATGTGCCACAGCACATGCAAACATGCTCCTTTTATCTTCACTATCAGTACGGTTCCACAATATATTTGTATTAATTTTTGCAATTTCAATTGCAATCTCAGGGATGCCATCCTTGATAGCTTTAAAGGTTGCTTCCACTGCTCCACTTTGCACAAATTCATCCTCATCCAAAGCTGATAATTTTCGACATATAAAATGTATAATCTCACGGGCAGTTTCATCCATCAACTTTAAATCATATATTTTCGTTGCTGTTGAAAAAAAAATATATTTTGCTTCAATTCTACTAATAAGAATTAAGAAAAAAGGCCGACACGAAAAAAGAGAGATAGAGAGAGAACCAATAACAAAAGCTAATTAAGAAAAGGAGAGAGAAAAAAGAAAAAAAAAAAACCTCATTTAATGGCATTATTGCTTTCGAAGAAATTTCGGATATTGAAACCTGTGTCTTTGCCACAAATGAGTTGTATTCATAATTTTTTTTTTAAAAAAAAGAAAGTTATTCTATATATATAAATAATTGCCTTTCTATTCACCCAACAATTTCTACAAAAGTTATTAATGAGAAAATGGAAAGAAGACTCATAACCACTGTACCTCTTTGTTGAGCTGCAACAATGCCAACTCCATCTGATAGAACATTTCCTTTATCTACCTTCACTCTTATACCTTCAGTTACAATTACAATAAAAAAAAAATAGCACTTAATACACTAAACAATTCAGAAAAACACATTGGAAAACAAAGAAAGATGGCATGCACAACATCCCAAAATACTCTATTTTTTAGCCCAAAAATATATTAAAAGAGAAATTATGTTAAAAATTAAAAAGAAAAAGATAAGCGATACTAACAATTATATATTAATCGTCTCCAAAATGATAGCTGATTTCCTCTAAAGAATGGTGGTAGTGTTCGAGCAAGAGTTAAAATGATCGGACTGGTATCCTTCTTAAAGATTTTATATATTCCAAACTTTGGAGAGTTGTAGAGGAGATGGAGTGCAATATCTGATATATGTCAAATTAAGTTAGTTTGTTAGAAAAACATAAAATACAAACTTATAGAAAGAGAAGATAAATGTTAGAGTTCTTACCAAACATTTTCCTTATTATACACTCTTCGAGGAGGTAAAAACCATAATCTCCATACAGAAATTTTTGCGGAGTATTACGGTAGAGGTAGCGAGTCATGTCCTCATGCCCTGCCCTGCAAGCCAATTGAACCGGGAGCTTATCGTCGCCATCTGGGATAGAAAGCAACTCCTTGTTCTTTTCAATCAAGCATTTTGCAATTTCCATCATTCCACTACGAGCAGCGAAGGAAAGAGCTGTGTTGCCACTCTCATCTTTTATCTCCAAGTGGTG